AAAAAAAAGAAAAAAAAAAAAGAAAGAAAAGAAACGAAAAGAAAAGAAACGAAACGAAAAGAAAAGAAAAGAAAAGAAAAGAAAAGAAAAAAGTAGACTGTAGAAGTAAAGTGCAAGGAATATGAGCGAGAGCGATAGACAGAAGTCCAAATTGCAAAATCACGCTGAAGTCCAGATAGTCATGTACCAAGCAGAAAGCACAATGCACCAAGATACCATCCAAATCAGAGCAATACAATGAACGCAAATGTCAATGCCGACGCTCTCTGGCCACACCAACATAGTATCCAACATCGCTCCTACTAAGTGGCGCCCAGCGCCCAGCCTACAGTACTCAGTCTGTCTAGCCTATCTACGTTCATGCAACAGGAACACATCGAAGTTGAAGACCAATGTACGTGATGCCAACCTCAATGCAGACTGCCAGCATACATCAGGTATGTGTCTCACTGCTCTCCTCATCACCCGTGACTCCCCACTGCATGCGCCTCCTACCGAAGACCACCATCGCCATCACCTGCCTCCGCACGCGCAGCCCGGCTATGGCCCCCGTGCACCTGCTGCCACCTCAGCTCCCCCTTTCACCACTTGCGCCCGTGTGCGCCCCCGGCCTGCCTGCTAGTGCAGCTATCGCATGGCAAAGCAGCAGCGCAGCAGTGTGGCCGCAATGCCTGCTCAGGCCAGAATGCCCCTGGCTGGAGTGCTCACTTTCCTTTATGGAAAGTGATCCCTGCTAGGCTGTGCCTTGGGCCTGGCTGGGTGAGTTTCCAGTAGCTTCCAGTCGGGCCCCAGTGTCTGCGCCCAGGCCGAACTTCAGATACTGGCCTGGGCCCGGTGCAGTTAAGCACGTCCAGGTAACCCACAAGGCTCCAAGTGTTCGGCGCAATCCCATTGGCTCCAAGTGTTCGGCGCAATCTCGTTGGTCTGTGACCATTACGTGACTTGTCGGCCTCTGAACGAGTGTTCCCAGGGCCTCAACCGAATGAGCCCTGGGCTCAACTGTATGATGCAGCTGCTGCTTCTGGAAAGAGCCAGGGAAGGCTCACGTTGCTCTGTAACCGACTGGCGTGCTGTAACTGTCTGATTCCCCACATACGGAGAATGGCAAAAATAGGCCTCACGCAAATATGCAGGCCCGCCTTCACTTAAGCCGGGCACGAGGCTTGCTGGGGGCCTCTGCCCATAACGTCTGTATGCCCGAGAAGGGCCTTGCGAGGGCTCAATCCTCGCAAAAGCAGGGAAATTGGCAATCAAGGGGAAAGAGACATAGAGGCCGCGAAGTGTCCTTCTGAGGCCCGCGAGTCCCACGCCCCCCTCCCACTGCTTCTTATTGCTGTGTTCTCTCCCATCTGCATGTGTGTGTGTGTGTGTGTGTGTGTGTGTGTGTGTGTGTGTGTGCTTGGAGTGTCATAGTTGTTGGAGGTCCCGAGAGTGTAAGTTTCCCTCTGTTTGAAGTGTGAGTTGCTGATAGGTTCGGTGCTGAACCTTGTTGGTTTGGCAGCTTTTGATGATCAACCTGCCAGAGGAGGTGAACATGGAGGACATAGAGAGGTTTTTTGAAGGCTACAGCATCTCTGGGCAAGGAGTGAAGCTCCTCCGATAGTGAGTTCTCTTTGACTTCCCACCTTTTCACTCGTGAATGGACCACATGTTTCTCTCTGTTTTTGTGGAAGAAACCAGAGCACCGGAAGACCTCGAGTATGCCCCTTTTCATTCTCCTCAGCTTGCATCCTTTTCCAATTCTGGTATCTATTACAGAGCGTCCACAGCTGACCACGCCCGGCGATCAAATGTGTGCCTAGTAACTGGCCTCTACAACACCCTGGACTTTTTTATATAAAAGAAAAAATAAAAATAAAAATGGTGGGGTCGGTAGAGGGGGTGTCTGCTCTTACTGAGAGGGGTAGCAAGGTTGGATGAATCACGGAGCATCAGCAAGCAACATAAGATAAGACAAACACGAGAAAGCTTTGCTTTCGGACTTCATTGGCCATTGACATTTGTGGTTTAGTTTTCAATGAGAGACATGTCATGTAAGCACTCGGCATTGCCTGGGAGGCTTATTTTTGTTGGTTGGATTCTCAAATTTTCGCTGATAGTGTTGTTATTTGCTGGAGTTCTTTTGTTCTTCTTTTCGGATGGTCTATATGTGATTTAGCGCTTGCTGCACAACAGCAAGTGTGTCTCTTCTTCCACTTCAAGGTTGAAAGGTAAATCCTTTTCTTTTTTTTAATTTTTTTTTTGCCTTTTTTGAAGTTTTTTTGCATTTGGCGAGTGAAGGTGGAAATGTACACCAGTTTTTTTATTTGTGTTTTTCACATTTGGCAAGACTAGTGGCGAAAAGAGGAGGCCCCTAGGTTACCTGTGTGTTGAGTGGTTGCATTGTTGGACTGCAGTTGAGGTTTTGGAATCGAGCACGGAGTTTGGCGAAATTGTAGAAATGCTTATCAGAAGTAAATGCAAGTGTGATTTCACTGATGTCAGTGATATGACAAAATGCAAGTGAGAATGATGTGATGTAATGTATAATGAGTTCAGCTCTGACATTTGAAAGCAATGCTGGCAGCGGTGGGGATTCCATTGCATTGTGATGTAAACTGAGAATTGTTTGCATGTTTCAGTGTACATGAGAAGGTGAGAACGCCAAGGATCAAGCGTCTGCAGGGAGAATGGAGGAAGACGATGGACAATGTGGTGGAGAGGAGGGCGTTAGTGTGTTTCACGTCAGAACTGGAGGCACTGAGGGCACTAAGAGAGAGGCAGGGGGAGTATGTGCAGGACATGGAGATTGAGCTCAAACTGATTCAATGAACACGCTAGGAGAAGAGGAGGCAAGGGAGCAAAATTTCTTTTTCTCTTGGTCTTCGCGTGCGGACGAGGCAATGTACTGCTGTTGGTGAAGTTTGGAAGGGCGAGGTGGCATCCAGCTGTGAGGTGATGACATCCATGTCCCTGAACCGATGCTTTGTCCATCGGCAAACTGAAAGGGTGGGCTACCACTGTACAGTGTTGCTACGCGTGTCGTCTTTGGATAGCCTCTCTCACCCTCGGGTTTGCTGGCATTCCTTTGTTCTCTTGTGTGTGTGTGTGTGTGTGTGGGTCGGTGTGTGTGTGTGGATGCGTGTACACATGCAGTAGTTTTTATGTGTGTGTGTATGTGCTTGTATATGGGGGAGGGAGGGGGAGAGAGAGAGAGAGAGAGAGAGAGAGAGAGAGAGAGAGAGAGAGAGAGAGAGAGAGAGAGAGAGAGAGATTTTGTTGTGCCATGAGCTTGCTTTTTCATGGCTTGGTGATGATGCTTCTATCACCTGCAATACAATTGCGCTGAATATGCTTATCGCTTTCTATCCATGGTCATTTAGCGCATAACAGTTTTTTCGTTCTAACTACCGACTTTGGAAGGCTGTGTATCCATGTTCCTCTCTTGTGCTTGAGATGAGGAGTTGAAGAGTGAGTGTGCCACTCTGAAGAAAAATATGACACTGAATTGGACTTTTCCTGGTAAGAACACAATGCCATGAAAATATCTCCAGGAGCTGTAGCACGTTCTGTCCATTACAGCGAGCAACTTCTTGCACTTTTGACGATTGTTTCTGTGCGTGCTGGTAGCAGCAAGCAAGTGGTGCAGAACTTCCCGCTTCCCGAAAGCTAATAGTATAGTCCACAGCTTTAGACTTTTCGAAGAGAAGCCGTTAATGCGAACGGCCGTCGGGTAATTCTTTTCCCCGTCTTTCTGTTTCTGTTTGGGACGCAGCATCTGCATACGGTTGTTATGAATGAGAGGCAAGAACGGGGGATGCTGCTCGTACTCGATTAGATCAGACGTGTGTTTCACACGTCAAAGGCATGCGATGCGGCGGTATGAGGACACAGACTTGGGACATCCATTATAATTGCAATGAGACTGTGGACGCTAATGGGGAACTCATCTTGTCTCCTATTTTCGTAAATCCGTCAGCAAATTTAAGATGCAGCATCGCTCCATGGAACCAGACGGAACCAGACGGAACCAGACGGAACCAGATGGAACCAGGTGGTACCAGATGGTACCAGATGGAACCAGTTGGTACCAGATGGAACCAGATGCAGATGGTACCAGATGGAACTTACTCGACTTCTACTATCTGTTAAGAACCCATGGAAAATGATGGTCATCGAATCCTGGCCGTACAAGTTGAGATCACAGCTGAGATCTTGGCCGTACAGGTTGAGATCCGCTGAGACCCTTCAGCGAATGATGTTTGCTCAGCAATCCTTCTACTGCTACTACATCTGGCATCTGCTTTTGTGGACCACCCAAGGACGGACATGTGCATTTCACTCTGAAGGAAGGCTTCTTAATGAGGTAATTTGGTAAATAATAAATAATAATTGGTCGGGTTATGAGGCCCTGTTGTAACAACAACCACACCTCATGTGAGCTATCGTGTGTCGTGTTGTGGTGCCGCTACATCATCGTTCATTCATCGAAAGGCTGTTTTTGGTCAGCAGTCTCTGGCGACTGGATTAGTTGCCTTGCACCTCACGGTTCCGATGCATCATATGCTTCGCAAACGCGAACGCGTCGCTGCTGTGGCAACATACTGAACAAGTTATAATACAACTCGTCGCTTGGAGCCATTCATTCATTATCTTCTTCTTTCCATTGTATATTCCTTCCACACTCTCTTCTTTTCTTAAAAGCAACATCGGATCGCTGATTGGTATATATGGGTAGATAATCGGCCTGAGTACAAGGGGTTGAATCACCAGGCAGGCATTCCTGCCTACCCGTGCGGAAAGGTTTCTTCTGTTCCCTAAGATCTTTTCGTCTGTGTTTTTGCTTCTCGACTCGAGCTCCACTTCCCTCGCCTCACCTCTTTTGGCAGTGTGTGTGCATGCTTCAGAATCGGACTCTGTTTGCCTTTTTACCCCTGTATCAAAGTCATGATTACATGATGACCCTCAGTATGATGTCTCCAGGTGCAGAGAAAGATGGACCAAGTTATCACCTTGCAGTCTTCTTGTCACCCATCCAAGTCCATCATTGGCGAGCTTACGCCATTTTGAGTCACTTCCGGTGGCGACGTCATCATACCCCCTGCAGTTACTGCCAGCTCAACTTGCTGTTCTCGCATTTTATTACCTTCCAAATTGCCCTGTTTTGTGCAACGCATGTACCCTTTGGGCGGTTCGAAATTGCCCTCTTTTGTGCGACACGTGTCATGTACTGTTTGGGCGGCATGTAGGTTCTCGTGCTATGTCTTCCAAATGGCCCCGGTTTGTGCGACGTATCTATCCTTTAGATGTCATTCAGGCTCCCGCACGATATATCTTCCAAATGGCCCTGTTTTGTGCGACATATGTATCCTTTGAGCGGCATTTAGGTTTGGCGCAAGGGTTCGCGTTTGCCTCACCCCAGCACGGCTCCCAAAGAACCTCACGAGACATCCATGGGCAGTCATTTGTCTCCAGAGGCCTATGCAACCACTCATTCACAGCCTGACGCTGCAATACCTCCCCACACCTCCTCCTTCCATTTTCCTGTCTCTATGCTGTCCACTTCCTCTACATCACCTTCGTCACAATGTGCTTCATTCAAACCTCCCTCCTCCTCCTCCTCCTCCTCCTCCTCCTCCTCCTGCTGCTGCTGCTGCTGCTGCTGCTCCGCCGTCTTCGTCTTCGTCATTCTGTTATCCTTCTTCCTGTCATTACTGTCATTGTTATTCTTGTTGCCTTTGTCATCATCATTACCAATTGCATTTGCCACCCCTCCTCATCCTGCTCCTGCTCCTCCTCCTTCTCCTCCTCCTCCTCCTCCTCCTCCTCCGTCTTCGTCTTTCTGTCGCTGTTCTTGCTGTCATTACTGCCTTTGTCACTCTTGTTGCCTATGTCATTCTTGTTGCTTTTGTCATTCTTGTTGCCTTTTTTTTGTCGTTCTTGTTGCTTTTGTCATCATCATTACCATTGCATTTGTCACTCCTCCTCCTCCTGTTCCTCCTCCTCCTTTGTTCGCCTTCGCCTTCGTCTTCGTCTTCGTCTTCGTCTTCGTCTTCGTCTTCGTCTTCGCCTTCGTCTTCGTCTTTGTCTTTGTCTTCGTCTTCGTCTTCGTCTTTGTCGTTGTCTTCGTCTTTCTGTTGTCGTTCTTGCTGTCATTACAGTCTTTGTCCGACTCTTTCTTGCTGCCCTTGTCATCACCATTACCATTGCACTTGTCACCTTCCTCATCACTGCCATTGTTGCTGATGTTATGGTCCTTACGGTTCTTATCATTATTGTTAGAGTGATGATCACCGTCATCATGCCATTTCCATTGCCACGGTCTTCGGCGCCTTTTCCTAAGCAGAAGCAGCAGCAGCAAGAACAATCTACTCCGCTCTGCATCTACCCCCCCCGGGGTTGATACAGACCTTACATACCAGGTCCAGTCCCGACCGCAGAATATAGCAGCCCCCAGCGTCAACCCCTACCCCTCAAGGACATTTACCTCGCACCATGTGAAGCCATGGTAGGGAGGATAGTGATCCCCCCCTCGAACCTCCAGAGTCCAGATCAACCCTGTAGGGATGACTATCTCACAAACCATCTGAAAAGCATTGAGACCATTGAAAAACAAATATCGACCCTCTGATTAAAACGGACAATTTCTTGGGATCCTCATTTGTGAATCAGGATATTAGGAAATCCAATGATGCCCCAATGATTCGGATATTGGAAAGTCCAATTAAGCATCAACAAGACTATAACTATTTTTTCAAATTTTTCTACAATAAGATCGTTAAAAAAAAAAAAAAAAAAAAAAAAAAAAAAAAAANTTTTTTTTTTTTTTTTTTTTTTTTTTTTTTTTTTTTTTTTTTTTTTTTTTTTTTTTTTTTTTTTTAACAAAAGAATTTTAGGGATTATTAGAAGTGTAGGATTTTAGGAATCACGAATTTGGGAATTAGAAATTTAGGAATTAAAAATTTAGGGATCAGGAATTTGGGAGTTTGGAGACGGGGAATAAGAACTTTAGGAGGCAGGCGGGAACCAGTTTACGAGATTTTTTGAAATTAATAAATCATTACTGATTTTTGAAGTGCCACATCAGCATCTGTGGTCGGGAGCTCCATAGCTCCCTTTGCAAGCAGGTTGGCCGTAACCATAATGCCCTGATTGGAGATCGCAAGGATAGGCTGGACAAAAATCTTTGGAATATTCATACCGTCAATAGCGATGCTATCTTCCTGACCTAATGTCCTCATCGAATCGACCGTCATGAGACTTGCTGGTAATCCTGGCCGTCTATCACCTTTGCTCCCTTCTCTCTCGACAGGTCCATCTTTCTCCGACCGGGCCACTCGAGAACCAGTTTGAAATTTGAACCCATCGTTGCTTACGTCCCTGCGTGTCCTCCGCACCCCTTCTAAAGCTTCCTCCCCGAACGAATGCGTTTACCGCGCAATCTTCCATGTGGGAAGTCCGTTCCTCCTCCTCCACCTCTTCTTCTTCCTCTTAATACGTCTTCCCCTTTCTTGATGCCTTTGATGAGGTTCGTTCTTCGCTAGTGCTATTTCCCCTTCTACCCTTTCTTCCCCTTCCGCTTCCCCCAGCACTACCCTTTCGGCTCGCGGAGGTGCTACTCGTACGTGGGCCCGTTTATTAAGAAGAAAAAGGGCCTTCAAGTTGTTCCACCACTCACAATGACACTGTTTTGGTCAGTGGCCTCACCGCTCCACCACTCACCATGTCCCGAATGTCAGAAGACGTTTGTTTTGCCGTCGTGAGTGGGCTGTGGTGAGCACTCACCACGGTGTTGGTTTTCCACGCCTGCGACAGCCGGGTTGCGGAGCGGGGTAGTGGAGGACCATCTTGGGTTTGCACCAAAAGGAGTTTACAAACCACACTACAAGACAAGGATGGCGCCGGTCTCAACTGGCCCGACCTTGTCTTGTAGTGTGGTGAGCGAACAAGGGTGGTGAGTGGTGGAGCAAGGCCCAAAAACCTGGCAAATATGTGAGGGGAAAGGTACCAGAGTGAGGGCTCGGCTCACATGCCATTGCCTGTCCGGTCGGCCGGTCGGCAAACATGTGCACGATCGCCCACATATGCCCGTAGTGCACATTTGGTGAGTTTTTTTTTTTTTTGGTTGTTGTCAAGTTCTCACAGCCCACCATCAATGAAAACTGGCTCTCGTGGCATGGTGCTCACCAAATCTTTTTTTTTTTTTTTCCGTTTTTTTTTTGTATAGCACACGGCTCAGGTTACTACCCGGGGTGATATGAGCACCTTCCGGTAGTGCCTTTGCCAGGCTCCATTCTATTGCTGGGGAGGATCACCTGAGGCTGTTGGAAACCAGGTCAAGCGTCCCATTACATCACATTATCAGCCTTGGGCACTGGGCCCGTTTTAAAAAAAAAAACCGTCACATTGTTCAACACAGAATTCTCGGTTAAGTACACAACTGAGGTATTACGAAGGGTCTGTCCTTTGGAACTGACACTTCGTTTAAAGTTTAAACTGACATTTTCTTTTTTTTTTAAATTCACGAAAGTGGACTTAGTCAAAATTTTATCAAAATTTCATTGCTCATTGGGTGAAAAAGTGGTTATCTCACTTTGACCATCTGATGTATCTCAACGTGAAGTACCGTCAAAATATATCCAAGGGTCCAATCATCGGGCTTCGTCACGACGCCCGACCATCAGATAGCCCGATGTCATGGGGACAAAAACACGCAAAAAAAGTACTGTTTTTTTTCAGACGCCCGTCGCCCAATTTGAATTTTGTGAATTTAGATAAAAAATCTCAGTTTTAATGAAATGTCAATTTTGGAGGGGAGCCGTGCCAGTCTTCAAGATCTGCCATCCAAACACCCTGCTGGAAAACGGGGCCAACGTCCCCCCCCTACTGCGAACACATGTTGCATGGAAAATCAGCAGGTTGTCTGCCTCTTCAGCCCCCGTTTGTCCGCCTGCTCTGTTCTTTCTATGCGAGCAGACACCCCAGATAAGAGTAAAACAACCATTACATTCATTGCCCCCTTTGTCCCCTGCCACTCCCTCCCATACCACCGAGCATCCACCATGGCCGGAGCCGGCGGTGGAAAGAGTTCGGGGAATTCTGGGCCGCAGCAGCGGGATGGAGGCATTCATCTTTGTCCAGTCATGAAACTGGTGGACGGTGGTGGTAATTGTCCCTTCCACCATCCCCGTGTTCCCTCTCTTCGTCCCCCTTCCACTCCACCTTTGCAATCCTGCCTCCTTTTATCCCCCCCCAGTCAGTCTTTGCTGAACCGTTCGATGTGTTGTCTGATTTCTGTTTTTGACTGCAGATGTGTTATTTTTTCCTTAACTTCTTCCCCGGGCCATTGAATGTTGTCTTGCTGCATTTGTATTTTGATTGACTCCACAAATTCCACTCCTTCCGGGCGTACCCCCTCCACTTCAAAGGTGCATCGCCGCCACCGTAGTTCCCAAGTGACCGCTCTGTCCCTCATATTACACTCGGAGGTGGTGGCATGGTCTGGTCACCAAGCTTCGCAGCACAGCGCCTATCAGTCCCATGGCCAGGGCACCGTGGTGCCCATTTGTCCCAACAGGCTGTCCCACCACCTCCACAACTGGACTGAACTATGTTCAATAGTGCAGAGTGGAACTCTTCCGGAAGCGTGAATGCATACGGGATCGTCTGATCCAACGTGCTTTTTGTGTGGAGTTATGAATGCCTGAGCCCTTAAGAA